TCTGTAGACCTCTACTTCTGCCGCGGGACGATTTGAATGCGAGGTAGAGCGATGTAGAGACGCGCTACAACGTGAACTCTGGACAACACGCTGTACATGATTACCGACGAGGGAGGCACGGTCGCTCTTCAACGATGAGGCGCAGGCAATTCCTACCGCTCCCCTGGCGGGGGGGTTTTCCACCCCCAAGCAGGAGAGTGTCTCTGCTGGGGGGGGGGTCCTGACCCCCCCGGCAGCAGAGCGCTCCTGCTGGGGGGGGGGGGTCCCGACCCCCCCAGCAGCAGAGCGCACTGGACCCAGCTCTCCCGCCTCCTCGCCGCCGCCCCCCCCTCTCCGCCCTCAGTTCGTGTTTAAGCGGTACTCGTACGCTCGAGGCGGTTGTGTTCGCCGCGCCTTCGAGCCCAATACACCTTCGTCGTGTCGAGTGCTGGCAACGTTTACTCGGCAGTGTCGCAGTGTCGAGCAACACTCGGTGTCAGAGCGTCGCGCCTCCATCAGTAGTCTCATCACCGAATTGATTGCTGGCCTGTGGCGTATGACCTCGCGCGGATATCACCAACGACGAGCATGCGAAGATAGGGAACAATATCTTGTACAGCCCGCTGTGCTCCCCGCTGTGCCACGGCGTACGATGGGCTGCGAGAGCCGTATCTTCCCTCCTTGAAGCAGAGGAGCCGCGAGGCACGAGAGGCGTAGAAGAGAGGCTGGCGTGCCCCGCACCTCCCGGTTGGCAGTAGGAGGGCCCGCCGGTGAGACCACTGATTTTGATGCCGACTATAAATTCTCGCCACTGGAACGCATGCTACTTACAGCTGCTGTCTGTACAGAGATGCCAGCACCCCCCACAGGCAGAGCGCTCCTGCTTGGGGGGGGGTCCGGACCCCCCCAGCAGCAGAGGGCTGCTGCTGGGGGGGGGGGTCCCGACCCCCCCAGCAGCAGAGCGCTGCTGCTGGGGGGGGGGGGTCGGCCATGAGCTTAGTTGTGCAGGGGCTAGTTCCATTTCACTCTGACACGCTAATCTTGAAAACGTCCAACGGAGCTCCGTGTTGCTCCCAGCGCCCTCCCCCGCGCTTCCTGCGGCCATGGCCGATGATACTAGTATGAGAGGTCATCTGGCTACCGCGAGCGCGACTCAACTCGCCGACGTCGTCCGATGATTGTGCCTCAAAGTCAGCCTCCGGAGGCTATCGTGGGGTCGAGCCGGCAGTAGCCGTGACATGTGGTTCCACCACCCCTCGTATGCTTTGCCTCTGACCGCCACCGTTCCCAGGCTGCCAAATGGGATGGAAAGGAAGGCTCGGCGAGCGTATAGAAGCGTGCTCGACCTCGTCGTG